TTGTCCTCTCTGACCCACCCTTTTGTCCTCTCTGACCCACCCTTTTGTCCTCTCTGACCCACCCTTTTGTCCTCTCTGAGCCACCCTTTTGTCCTCTCTGAGCCACCCTTTTGTCCTCTCTGACCCACCCTTTTGTCCTCTCTGACCCACCCTTTTGTCCTCTCTGACCCACCCTTTTGTCCTCTCTGACCCACCCTTTTGTCCTCTCCGAGCCACCCTTTTGTCCTCTCTGAGCCACCCTTTTGTCCTCTCAGAGCCACCCTTTTGTCCTCTCTGAGCCGCCCTTTTGTCCTCTCTGAGCCACCCTTTTGTCCTCTCTGAGCCACCCTTTTGTCCTCTCTGAACCACCCTTTTGTCCTCTCTGACCCACCCTTTTGTCCTCTCTGACCCACCCTTTTGTCCTCTCTGAGCCACCCTTTTGTCCTCTCTGAGCCATCCTTTTGTCCTCTCTGAGCCACCCTTTTGTCCTCTCTGAGCCGCCCTTTTGTCCTCTCTGAGCCACCCTTTTGTCCTCTCTGAGCCGCCCTTTTGTCCTCTCTGAGCCACCCTTTTGTCCTCTCTGAGCCACCCTTTTGTCCTCTCTGAGCCACCCTTTTATCCTCTCTGAGCCACCCTTTTGTCCTCTCTGAGCCACCCTTTTGTCCTCTCTGAGCCGCCCTTTTGTCCTCTCTGAGCCACCCTTTTGTCCTCTCTGAGCCGCCCTTTTGTCCTCTCTGAGCCACCCTTTTGTCCTCTCTGAGCCACCCTTTTGTCCTCTCTGAGGTGCCCTTTTGTCCTCTCTGAGCCACCCTTTTGTCCTCTCTGAGCCACCTTTTTGTCCTCTCTGAGCCACCCTTTTGTCCTCTCTGAACCACCCTTTTGTCCTCTCTGACCCACCCTTTTGTCCTCTCTGACCCACCCTTTTGTCCTCTCTGACCCACCCTTTTGTCCTCTCTGAGCCACCCTTTTGTCCTCTCTGAGCCACCCTTTTGTCCTCTCTGACCCACCCTTTTGTCCGCTCTGACCCACCCTTTTGTCCTCTCTGACCCACCCTTTTGTCCTCTCCGAGCCACCCTTTTGTCCTCTCTGAGCCACCCTTTTGTCCTCTCTGAGCCACCCTTTTGTCCTCTCTGAGCCACCCTTTTGTCCTCTCTGAGCCACCCTTTTGTCCTCTCTGAGCCACCCTTTTGTCCTCTCTGAGCCACCCTTTTGTCCTCTCTGAGCCGCCCTTTTGTCCTCTCTGAGCCACCCTTTTGTCCTCTCTGAGCCGCCCTTTTGTCCTCTCTGAGCCACCCTTTTGTCCTCTCTGAGCCACCCTTTTGTCCTCTCTGAGCCGCCCTTTTGTCCTCTCTGAGCCACCCTTTTGTCCTCTCTGAGCCGCCCTTTTGTCCTCTCTGAGCCACCCTTTTGTCCTCTCTGAGCCACCCTTTTGTCCTCTCTGAGCCACCCTTTTGTCCTCTCTGAACCACCCTTTTGTCCTCTCTGAACCACCCTTTTGTCCTCTCTGAACCACCCTTTTGTCCTCTCTGACCCACCCTTTTGTCCTCTCTGAGCCACCCTTTTGTCCTCTCTGAGCCACCCTTTTGTCCTCTCTGAGCCACCCTTTTGTCCTCTCTGACCCACCCTTTTGTCCTCTCTGAACCACCCTTTTGTCCTCTCTGACCCACCCTTTTGTCCTCTCTGAGCCACCCTTTTGTCCTCTCCGAGCCACCCTTTTGTCCTCTCTGAGCCACCCTTTTGTCCTCTCTGAGCCACCCTTTTGTCCTCTCTGAGCCACCCTTTTGTCCTCTCTGAGCCACCCTTTTGTCCTCTCTGAGTCACCCTTTTGTCCTCTCTGAACCGCCCTTTTGTCCTCTCAGAGCCACCCTTTTGTCCTCTCTGAGCCACCCTTTTGTCCTCTCTGAGCCACCCTTTTGTCCTCTCTGAGCCGCCCTTTTGTCCTCTCTGAGCCACCCTTTTGTCCTCTCTGAGCCACCCTTTTGTCCTCTCTTAGCCGCCCTTTTGTCCTCTCTGAGCCACCCTTTTGTCCTCTCTGAGCCACCTTTTTGTCCTCTCTGAGCCACCCTTTTGTCCTCTCTGAACCACCCTTTTGTCCTCTCTGACCCACCCTTTTGTCCTCTCTGACCCACCCTTTTGTCCTCTCTGACCCACCCTTTTGTCCTCTCTGAGCCACCCTTTTGTCCTCTCTGAGCCACCCTTTTGTCCTCTCTGACCCACCCTTTTGTCCTCTCTGACCCACCCTTTTGTCCTCTCTGACCCACCCTTTTGTCCTCTCTGACCCACCCTTTTGTCCTCTCCGAGCCACCCTTTTGTCCTCTCTGAGCCACCCTTTTGTCCTCTCTGAGCCACCCTTTTGTCCTCTCTGAGCCACCCTTTTGTCCTCTCAGAGCCACCCTTTTGTCCTCTCTGAGCCACCCTTTTGTCCTCTCTGAGCCACCCTTTTGTCCTCTCTGAGCCGCCCTTTTGTCCTCTCTGAGCCACCCTTTTGTCCTCTCTGAGCCGCCCTTTTGTCCTCTCTGAGCCACCCTTTTGTCCTCTCTGAGCCACCCTTTTGTCCTCTCTGAGCCGCCCTTTTGTCCTCTCTGAGCCACCCTTTTTTCCTCTCTGAGCCACCCTTTTGTCCTCTCTGAGCCACCCTTTTGTCCTCTCTGAGCCACCCTTTTGTGCTCTCTGAGCCACCCTTTTGTCCTATCTGAGCCGCCCTTTTGTCCTCTCTGAGCCACCCTTTTGTCCTCTCTGAGCCACCCTTTTGTCCTCTCTGAACCACCCTTTTGTCCTCTCTGAACCACCCTTTTGTCCTCTCTGAACCACCCTTTTGTCCTCTCTGACCCACCCTTTTGTCCTCTCTGAGCCACCCTTTTGTCCTCTCTGAGCCACCCTTTTGTCCTCTCTGAGCCACCCTTTTGTCCTCTCTGACCCACCCTTTTGTCCTCTCTGAACCACCCTTTTGTCCTCTCTGACCCACCCTTTTGTCCTCTCTGAGCCACCCTTTTGTCCTCTCCGAGCCACCCTTTTGTCCTCTCTGAGCCACCCTTTTGTCCTCTCTGAGCCACCCTTTTGTCCTCTCTGAGCCACCCTTTTGTCCTCTCTGAGCCACCCTTTTGTCCTCTCTGAGTCACCCTTTTGTCCTCTCTGAACCGCCCTTTTGTCCTCTCAGAGCCACCCTTTTGTCCTCTCTGAGCCACCCTTTTGTCCTCTCTGAGCCACCCTTTTGTCCTCTCTGAGCCGCCCTTTTGTCCTCTCTGAGCCACCCTTTTGTCCTCTCTGAGCCACCCTTTTGTCCTCTCTGAGCCGCCCTTTTGTCCTCTCTGAGCCACCCTTTTGTCCTCTCTGAGCCACCTTTTTGTCCTCTCTGAGCCACCCTTTTGTCCTCTCTGAACCACCCTTTTGTCCTCTCTGACCCACCCTTTTGTCCTCTCTGACCCACCCTTTTGTCCTCTCTGACCCACCCTTTTGTCCTCTCTGAGCCACCCTTTTGTCCTCTCTGAGCCACCCTTTTGTCCTCTCTGACCCACCCTTTTGTCCTCTCTGACCCACCCTTTTGTCCTCTCTGACCCACCCTTTTGTCCTCTCTGACCCACCCTTTTGTCCTCTCCGAGCCACCCTTTTGTCCTCTCTGAGCCACCCTTTTGTCCTCTCTGAGCGACCCTTTTGTCCTCTCTGAGCCACCCTTTTGTCCTCTCAGAGCCACCCTTTTGTCCTCTCTGAGCCACCCTTTTGTCCTCTCTGAGCCACCCTTTTGTCCTCTCTGAGCCGCCCTTTTGTCCTCTCTGAGCCACCCTTTTGTCCTCTCTGAGCCGCCCTTTTGTCCTCTCTGAGCCACCCTTTTGTCCTCTCTGAGCCACCCTTTTGTCCTCTCTGAGCCGCCCTTTTGTCCTCTCTGAGCCACCCTTTTTTCCTCTCTGAGCCACCCTTTTGTCCTCTCTGAGCCACCCTTTTGTCCTCTCTGAGCCACCCTTTTGTCCTCTCTGAGCCACCCTTTTGTCCTATCTGAGCCGCCCTTTTGTCCTCTCTGAGCCACCCTTTTGTCCTCTCTGAACCACCCTTTTGTCCTCTCTGAACCACCCTTTTGTCCTCTCTGAGCCACCCTTTTGTCCTCTCTGAGCGACCCTTTTGTCCTCTCTGAGCCACCCTTTTGTCCTCTCTGAGCCACCCTTTTGTCCTCTCCGAGCCGCCCTTTTGTCCTCTCTGAGCCACCCTTTTGTCCTCTCTGAGCCACCCTTTTGTCCTCTCTGAGCCGCCCTTTTGTCCTCTCTGAACTACCCTTTTGTCCTCTCGGAACCACCCTTTTGTCCTCTCGGAACCACCCTTTTGTCCTCTCTGAACCACCCTTTTGTCCTCTCTGAGCCACCCTTTTGTCCTCTCTGAGCCGCCTTTTTGTCCTTTCTGAGCCGCCTTTTTGTCCTCTCTGAGCCGCCCTTTTGTCCTCTCTGAACCACCCTTTTGTCCTCTCTGAACCACCCTTTTGTCCTCTCTGAGCCACCCTTTTGTCCTCTCTGAGCCACCCTTTTGTCCTCTCTGAGCCGTCCTTTTGTCCTCTCTGAGCCGCCCTTTTGTCCTCTCTGAGCCGCCCTTTTGTCCTCTCTGAACCATCCTTTTGTCCTCTCTGAACCACCCTTTTGTCCTTTTGGAACCACCCTCTCCTCCTCCTTCGCTCTTCCTCCTTGCCTCCTCCTCCCCTTACTCTCCCTCTCCTTGCGGCGTCCAGCTAGCGACTTGGGCCTGCAGGGCGTGGACAAGCCCTGCGCTCTGAACCCCTCCCCCCCCCCCCTCCCCTCCTCCCCTCCCCCTCGTGGCGCCGCTCATAGCTGAGCGACTTGGGGCTGAAGGACGTGGAGGAGCCCACGCTGCACGAGGTGCCGCTTCCTGGAATCTTCTCAGACGACCAGCAGTTCACCCTGCTGCTCAAGGTGCGCCTGCGCCCAGTTTGTCCTTCTTCCTTCTTCCTCCTTCCTCCTTCCCCTTCCTGCGTCTCGCCTCGTAATGCCTTGCACTGTCGTTCACTTTGCTGAGAAGCACTGATGCAATCACTGGTGGGTGCTCGGGTGAGTGAGTTGATGGTGGCGCTCGTGCTGGCAGGCCGTTGCTTCCCCTTGGCCCTGCTGCTGCCACCACCCTCCCTCCGCCACACCCCTGAAGCCCCTCACTCATCCTGCCCCAAGTTGCCCTTCCTCTTCCCATGCACCCCACCCTGCCCTGCCTCTTGCATTCCACACGTTTCCACCCCGCAGGCCCTACTTCCTGCACGTATCCCTCTGTTCCTTCTAAATCTCTGCCCGTTGCATGAGTGCTCTCAACAGCCTGCTCGGACCCTACACTTCTCTCCCCCCACCTGCTGCCCACCCCCACCCCGCCAGGTGGTGCAGGCTCTGCTGCACGAGGGCCGCCCCATGGAAGCTGAGCGCCTCGTCGAAACCGCTCTTTCGCGGAACCTTCCCAAGCCCATGCGGAAGCAGCTGCAGTCAGCCATTGCTGGTGAGCGCTCGGTCCCTCCCTTGGCCATCTCCTCTGTCCCTCCCTTGGCCATCTCCTCTGTCCCTCCCTTGGCCATCTCCTCTGTCCCTCCCTTGGCCATCTCCTCTGTCGCTCCCTTGGCCATCTCCTCTGTCCCTCCCTTGGCCATCTCCTCTGTCCCTCCCTTGGCCATCTCCTCTGTCCCTCCCTTGGCCATCTCCTCTGTCCCTCCCTTGGCCATCTCCTCTGTCCCTCCCTTGGCCATCTCCTATGTCCCTCCCTTGGCCATCTCCTCTGCTCCTCCATGCTGCTGTTTCCCTCTCCCTCCCATGCCCTCACCTCCCGTCCTCCCTGCGGCCATGCCACTGTGCTTGCATCTCATGGGCGTGCAGAGGAGGCGAGTGGCATGCTGCAGTTCGAGGTGGCGCGGGCCATCATCAGCGAGCAGCCTCACAGCATCCGCGGCTGGTCGCTCTTCCACTCCCTCACCCTCCGGTGCGCTCTGTGCTCTCTCTCTCTCTCTCTCTCTCTCTCTCTCTCTCTCTCTCTCTCTCTCATGTACACATGTACCCCACTCTTTCGTTTGCGCCCACTCTGATGGATTGAACAAGATGCCAAGATTTAGGGAGGGACCACTGTGTGTATTTGTCAGATGCACACACACACACCCACACGCCCACCCAACCACAACCACACAGATCCAACCACACACACACCCATGCACATCCAAAGCTCCATCACCACAAGCACAGGAGTCACGCATTAGACCTCCTTCCGCCCACCACGGTTGCGCCCCTTCCCCCCGTGCAGGGGCACGGAGAGCAACGACCGGCGGGCCAAGTTCCTGCAGCAGATGCGCATGCGGCACCCGGTGTGCGTGGCGGCCATGCTGGTGTCGGGCCACCACCATGCGCTGCGCGGCCACATGCAGGGCGCCTGCCGCGAGTACCTGCGCGCCCACCGCCTGCACCCCCACGACCCCCTCATCTGCCTCTGCTGCGGTGCGCTGGGAGGGGCTTTCAGGGCGGTGCTGTGGTGAGGAGCAATGGGAAGGGGGTGGGGGAGGAAGCGGGGAGAGGGGGGGATGCTGTCATGGGTGTAGCTCTGGGAGCTGTCGTCTGCACTGTTCCTACCAGCTCATGTGTGTTTCACTACCGCAACTTTCTACAATCCTACCCTCACCCCTCTCATCCCCCTCACCCCTCTCATCCCCCTCACCCCTCTCATCCCCCTCATCCCTCTCATCCCCCTCACCCGTCTCATCCCCCTCATCCCTCTCATCCCCCTTTCCCTCCCACACCGCACACCCTCGCTGCCACCAGGAGTGGCGCTGCTGAATCTCTCCCTGGGCTCGCGCCTGCGTGACCGCAGCCAGTGTGTGCTGCAGGGCATGGCGCTGCTGCAGCAGTACGCCCAGCTATCAGGCGACACTCAGGTGAGGGCATCTTAGGAGGAGGCCAATGGGTACTCCATTTGAACCCTCAACAAGCTCGATTGGTGATGTGCGCTCCCAAGTGGACCCGCCTTCTGCTCCCCTTGTCATCTCCTTCCCATGGCCAGCATTTCCTGTTTGGTTCCCTGTGGCACATGTCAGGAGGTGCATTTCAACCTGGGTCGTGCGTTCCACCATGTGGGTCTGCTGCACCTCGCTGTCGACCACTACAAGCGCGTTCTCTCCTCCGCCACTCCACATCGGCACCATGCCACGGCCGAGCAGCTGGGATTGAGAAGCCGCAGAAGCAGGGAGGTTAGAGATCAGGAAGGGCAGGAATATGACGCAGGGTTGAAACGAGAAGCAGCCCATAACTTGGTAGCCATTTACAGAAATAGCGGAGCTGATGCGTTAGCCAGACAAATCATGAGAAGCTATCTGACCATTTGAGTTTGATGTAGGGCGTTGGCTCGCTAAAGTTCGTACGGTAATGAAAAACATCAATAGCACGGTTGATTAATAAAAATTGTGTTGTGTACTGAAATTACTCTATACGTTTCAATAACCAATGTAATGGAGACTGTTCTAAACCCTGCGTATTTTCCACATGTGTTACTACTACGAGGTACCGTATTCTCCCGGACATAACACCCTAGGGTATAGCTAAAAATACAGGGAAAAAATGGGGGGGGTCTCCTCATAGGAAAAAAATACATAATACCCGGGTCTTTACATATGGCATATTTTAGTGTTAGTGTTTTTTTAATTAGTCAATGTGGGTGTTTTGCTGGTCGTTTTAGCATCACTGCCTGAGGCGCGAATGTCAGTTTCGGCCTCGAACTTCATCGCCCTCACGAAAATGCCATGTGACACCTCTCTTGCCACTTGCAACGGAAGATTCACCTGCACGTGGCAACAGAGAAATAGTGGGAGAGGGCAAATCTCGGCAGATTGCCTTTGAATGTACCGCGAAATTTCATTGAGGGAGAAATTCACACGACATTCTTCCGTATTGCAGCTACTCGTTAACGACTATACTAATGAATCCTTAAGAAAAGGGGGGTGTTATAGAAAATCAGGCAAAAAGGGGGGTATAGTAGAAACGAGGTCTATCATAACACCCACCCCGCACAAGCTACCCGGGGGTGTACAATTATGGGGGGGTGTTTTGTCCGGGAGTATACGGTAGCTCGGTAACATCTGAGCGTTTATTGTTTATCATAAATATACAAGCTTTTTCAGAATCACTGTACCGAATCGTAACCAGTTCCGTAATTGAGAAACATAACAGTTGGCATAACTTTCGAGCAAGCTCGCTATCGCTTTCGTTTTAGATTGTTCGACAAATCCGATTGGCTTACGACTGTTAGTACGATCAGAAAGCTGGGAATAACGTGTCCTGGATTGTTCTCGTCATGTTCATTTCTACGCGAGAGTACAGATTAAATTTCAATGTTCTTGTTATGAATGAACTTGCAGAGTGCGCAGTAAAACGAATAACGAGAATGTTGAATTACAGAATGACGATACAAGGAAAGGGACGAGACCTAAATAGGGGAAGTCCTAGCTAAGCGGAGAGGTAGGGCGAAGATGGCTCGGTGATGGTTGCGATTGGTGCGGAGGCCGACTCGGGAGTGGTTCGTTGCGACGAAATAGGCAGAACAGGTTCGTCGCGTGACCCTCGGGATGTCCTTGCTAACGAGTGCCTCAGTAAGGATGTATAAATCCTTACACTCTCCCACCTTCTAAATAACGCAGCCCTGTACTGAAAACAGACCCCACACTAGCAAGGATGCCGTAGATCTCCTCTTCAGCTGAATCCAACGGCCGAAATGCCTTTGACAATAATTTTGAAAAGGTTGGAATGTAGGCCGTCGATGAAGTCCGATTTCGATCTGACGGTCGACGATGAACTGGCCCAAATGAAGTTGAAGGTTGGAATGTGGGCCGTAGATCGAGCAGGTGTTAATCTGACGGTCGAAAGCTGACGCAAGTTTGGATGTGATGCCATCGCAGGCCATCGCATTCTTCCTGTCCCATACCATTCAATCACACCAACTTAGTTAGTCACATGGGCCATTACCTCAACACACCCCACCCACCCCACCCTACCCCACCGCACACCACCCCTTCCCCCGCCAGGGCATGTGCATACTAGCAGCGGCGCTATTCACAATGGCCAAACGAGCTCTTTTCAACACAGCCTTCCAACACTGGGAGCCCCATACACACACACTCTCCCCATGCAGATACAGCAGGATACACCCTCCCTCCAACCCACCCCATCCCACTCCACCCCTGCAGGGCATGGGCATATTAGCAGCGGCGCTATTCACCATGGCCATCGGGGCTCTCTTCAACGCAGCCTTCCCCTCGCCCCCCTTCGACGAAGGCGCTATTGCCTTCGTGCCGCCCCAAGCCGACTACGCGTGGCGAGTGGTGCTGGCAGCGGGGGCGGTGCCAGCAAAGCTCACCTTCTATTTTCGAATGACCATGCTGGAGACACCGAGGTTTACCACGCTCGTGCAGAGGAATGCCAAGCAGGCTGCACGGGACATGGGGCAGGTGGGTAGGTGGGGTTGTGTGGAGGGGTTGGGTGGTGCGGTTGGGTGGGTTGCGGTTGGGTGGAATCTTGAGACGTCCGAAAAAACGCTTTGACGGGTGCGTAATGCTGTCTGCATGAGGCTCTTCAATTGCTCCCATTGCCCTTCCTCCCTTTGCTGAGGGTATTGCACTGTCTCATTGCTGTCCTACTCCCACTCCTACTCCCATGCCGCAACCAATCCCAACCTCGTCATTGTAACGAGGTGACTTTGAGTCGACTCAACAGTCACCTCGTTACAATGGCACACAACACTTTGAACGAGACTCCCTTTTCTGCCATCCACCCCTCTACCGCCCCCTTACCTCCTTCCCCTCTTCCTTCCTCCTCCAGATGTTTCACTCGGCCTTCGAGGAAGCAGAAGTGGAAATCGAGCTAGCAACAGCCCCTGTGCGAACATACAGCCTGCTGTCGCGAGAGTTCCTGCACCACCACGGCGTGCACCTGCTGGCCACGGCAGCCTGCTGGTTCCTGGTTGACACGGCCTACTACTCGCAAAACCTCTTGAATCGGGACCTCTTCACCGCCATTGGATGGGTCGCGCCGCCCTACAGCATGAACGCTCTCACTGAGATGTACGAGCTCTCGAAAGATACGGTGAGTGGCATGTGGGGGGAACGGGGGGAAAGGGGGGAAAGGGAGGCTGTTCAGATGACAGCATGATCGCTCTGCAGGAGATGTACGAGCTCTCCCAGGCCACGGTGAGTGGCGTTGCAATGGAGCAAGTGAGGAGGAGGAGGAACTGTGGAGGGAGAGAAGATGGGAGGCAACGACTGAAGCTGCAGAGGCACGGGCACAGGAGCGGCTGACTCAGTGGCTACCGAAGCAAGGGCGACGGATTACTGGAGTAACTGGCTCCGCGGCTATAGACAAGCGGCAGGAGCAACGGACCCACTGGCGAATGGTGCAACAGGCTCACTGGCTACCGAAGCAAGGGCGACGGACTACAGGCGCTGCAGGCGACACAACAGCTACCTTCACACAACCTCCTCCAGCTGCCCCACACCTCCCGACACACAACCCCTGCTCAAACCCTAGTTCTACTCCCAAAGCACCCCCCTTTCACACACCCCCTGCTGCACCCTAGGTTCACTCACACCCCACCCCCTAGCACCACTCCATCGACTCCCACACACCCACCCCCCTCAGCGGCAGCTGCAGCAGTGGGAGACAGAGGAGGAGGAGGAGCAGGGGAGACCACACACCCGCCACCCCCTACTCGCCACCCCCAAACCCTAACACAGGGCAGGGCGGGATGGCGGGTAGGGAGGTTACGGGGGGGGGGGGGGGGGGGAAGGGGGGGCCGACGCGCGGCCTCCCAGGGCGCCAAAGCAGGCGGCAGAAGGGGCGACGCTCGCCCCCCCCTCCCCGCACGCGACCCCCTCAGGTCGCCTCGACAGGCGACGAGAAAAGAGGGGGGGGCGGTGCACGTGCCCCCGGTGCGCCGCGACAGGCGACGGAGCATGGCCGGGGCGGGGCCGGGGCAGGGTCGAGGCAGGGCCGAAAGGGGCGGCGACGGGGCCGCAAGGGGCGGCGACGGGGCCGGTGGAGGCGGCGTCGGGGTCGGGAAGGGGCCGCGAGGGGCCTGGAAGGGCGGCGACAGTCCGCTAGGGCCGGCGACGGGGCTGCGAAGGGGCGGCGACGAGGCCGCTGGAGGCGGCGACGGGGCCGATAGGGGCGGCGACGGGGCCGCGAAGGGGCCGCGAGGGGCCTGGAAGGGCGGCGACGGGCCGCTAGGGGCGGCGACGGGGCCGCGAAGGGGCGGCGACGAGGCCGCGAAGGGGCCGCCAGGGGCCTGGAAGGGTGGCGACGGGCCGCTAGGGACGGCGACGGGGCCGCGAAGGGGCGGCGACGAGGCCGCGAAGGGGCCGCGAGGGGCCTGGAAGGGCGGCGACGGGCCGCTAGGGGCGGCGACGGGGCCGTGAAGGGGCGGCGACGGAAAGCGCCGATTTCGGGTACGTAAACCAGTTCCGCGATATTTTTTAACGCACCCCTTGAACCGGTTTTCGAACACTCCTCATGTCCAGTGGCGAAAAAGTTGGAATTTCGACCGTCGGATTGATTCGAATCTCAACGGCACTGAGAATTTCGCACAGAAAAGTTGGAATTTGGAGTGTCGGATCGAATTTCTTCTCAACAACCAAAATCGGACGCGAATTTCGACTAAGGGAGAACTACGCAACCTACAGAATCAGCCCTCGTCATTGCTACAGTCGATTCAACTCACAGTAAGATGACCAGCGTCTAGAATTCATTTATTTTCGTCGCAAATCTTCCTGTAAATCGCAAAATGGAGGAAAAAGGTGATAATTCCGCACGAAAAATTACGGAGTTACTCACCGGCTTGGACCAGACGCGAGCGGTACTCCAGCGAATAGAGGCGCTTCTCGCTAACCAGTCGGCAGCCGCCACGACAGCAACGAACGCAGCGGCGAATGCAGCAGCGACGTCAGCAGCGACGTCAGCAGCGACGTCAGCAGCAACAGCAGCGGCTACACCGACACTTCACCCAGCAGCACCGGCAGCAGCTACAGTGAATCTTGAGGCGGCACGTCCGAGGCTACCGGAGAGCTTCAATCCGAATGCTAGAGACATCGACGTCCGTCGATTCATTACGACCCTCGAAATTTACTTCGAGGCCGTTGGCTGTACGACCCCGACACACGATGCAATGTGGATTTGGCTCGCAGCGACATTGTTACGAGGCCCGGCGCTCGAGTGGATTTACAACAGCAATAAGATCCGAGGCGAGAGGTCATGGACACAGTTTCGGGAAGCTTTAACTTAACGTTTCGAACCAATCAACTCCAGCTACATGGCACGGCAGCAGATTCATCGGCATAAACTGTTCGGGGGTGTAAGGGTACATTCGTATTGAGTGTCAGACATCAAGTCATCAGTCCTTAGTCAAAATTTTGCCTCTTCCGAACTCGATTTTGCCTTACAAACGGGCCACTTCGGGTCTTTCGAGCCTCCACTTCGTGTCTGACCTGATGTCTGACACGGGCTACGAATGTATCCTAACACAGTATACGCAGAAGATGGAGAGCCTCTTCACCCGAATAACCGACCTGACCGAAGGGGAAAAAATCCAAGCGTATACCGAGGGGCTAAAGATGGAAGTCCGCCGACAGGTGATTGCCGCGACCTACAACAATTACCGCGACTTGGTGTGTGCAGCAGAGAGATTAGATGCGTTGGCTTGAGGCGAACCAGACACGACGCCACATGCCGAACCGATCATTTGGCACTAAGCGATCGGCACCACCCACGACCGCCGACCCGATGGATATCGACAAGATCGACGCGAAGCAGCGGCCGACACAATATGAGAAGTGCGAATTTTGCGGCGCAGCAGGACATCGACTCTTGGCGTGTTGGAAAATGAAGAAGGCATGAGCGGAGCTGCAGGGCAACAACAGTGCGACATCCATGAGGGCGAAAAAAGGAGATCATGATGGCGCGAATTTAAAACGCCACGACCGGCCAGCAACAGGGGAAATCGCCGAGACAAAAGGAGGCTCCGCAAAACAAGACTCTGCACCGATCGGGAAACTCCAGCCGAACACCCCCGAGAGTAAGAATATTCCCTCTCAAGGTTTTCAAGCCTTTTAAAAAATCCAGGGGAGATTTCGAGGCCAAGAAAAAGCCTTCAGACATTATTCAGGTACTTGAGAAGTTGGGCAAACCACTCCGGAGCGTTGAAAAGGGTCGTGCGTTCCAAGGAGTTACTATTCTCTCCCCGCAGCATACCGTATTTTCCCGTATTTAAGACCCGCCGGAATAACCGTCCCATGGGTCTTTAATGCGGGGGGTGGTACGCTTATTTAGGACCAATCTGTGAGGACCCCCCCTTGGCACCCAGAGTTTATAAGACCCTCCCCCTTCCTTAGAGTTCCCATTTATGGCATGAAGTACTTCGCATTTTCTAAATTTATACTTCAGATACGTACATACACTAAACTCTCCCTCCCCTACCATTCATAATACCGTACCATACCTTGAATGTGAACATTCCATACACATGTGATCACGGTTAGCCTACCAGTAGTTGCCGTAGCTGTATCACGTTTCCTGGCTACCATGCATTCCTTGTTGTACGGTTGTGCTACTCATCATCCAAGTCCTCGTAGGTGGTGGGGTCGTCAGGGTCATGGTTGGGCTCATCAGCCTCAGAATCTGTCTCGGCGCCCTCGGCGGCGTCCTCATCCTGCACGGGGTTAGCAAAGAGTGGGTTGACCCACTCTTCTACCTCTGCAGCCGCATTCACATCTTCCGCCACCTCAACCTCCGCCGCATCACGCATGTGGGCGAGGGTGAGGTGGTCCTCGCGACTGTCGGGGCTGTTTGTGATGCCGCACGTCTTGAAGGACCGCACGATGAGGTCCTCCGGCACCGCCGCCCACGACTCCGCGATCCACTTAAGGATGAGCTCGGCGGGAGGCTTGCGTAGATTCCCTGGGGGAAGGGGTGGGGCACAGAGGTGAAACGGAATCGGATTCGAGGCACATTCACACTCACTAAAACCAATGGTTACACATGCACGCATGGGAAACGAGGCGCACTGTACCTGCAGGCGTGAGGGAGTTGATTCCCTCGGTCGCGAACCAGTCATTGTACCGCCGGCGCATGCCAGCCTTGAAGCACCTGTTCACGCTCACGTCGAGAGGCTGGAGCAACGATGTGCATCCGCCGGGGTTGACGGCCGGCGTCACGCAGTTCCAGCGCAGTAAACCAAGGACCGGCTCGGTAAGATGGCCCCGATAAGAGTCTAGCACCAACAGCGACTAGCTCCGGTTGATACCTGCAAGGGGGCGCACAAAAGGTAGCAACACATGCTGCACCCAATCCTGCACAAGGGTGGCGTCCATCCACCCACGGTGATGCGCACGGACCAGGATGCCTGCAGCAGGTACAATGACAGGCTTTTAGTCACATATTCACTAGTGTAGCTTCCGGTAAAAGACAGGAAACTCACCCTCGGGATAGCGGATGTTCGGAATGGTCTTCCGTTTGAAGATCACCATCGGATTCAGTTTCCTGCCCGTTCCCGACACACCGAGCATCACGGTGAGTCGTTCCTTCTCGTACCCCGCCGTGCGTACATGGACAGTGTGCTCGCCTCAGTGGTGCAGTGTTCTCTCCTGCGGCATCTCGAGGAACACGGGGGTTTGATCCGCGTTCACAATATTCCAAGGATCAATCCCGTCACGAGTGACTTGCCTCCGGACAAACGCCCAAAAGCTCTCACATTTGGGCTTGCAATCTGCACAAACAACTCGAGATAGTTAGTCACGGTTCCCTCGGACCTTTGAGCACAGGGCATTAACGACATGGCGAGGATTGTTTACCTTTAGCGAGACGCTGGCCGATTTTGGTTTTCACTCGCATGGCGAGGCCCCACCGAGCACGGAATCGCATGCACCAACAAACAGAAGCCCGCCAGTCGACATTGGGATGGTGGCGTTTCATGTACGTGCCGCTCCAGTTCATGAGGAGGCGGGTAGGAACGGCTAGGCCGCGAGATCGAAATGAAATGAAGTTGCGGTAAACGCTAAGTTCCATAGCAGGGAACTTGGCGTGACGGCCGCCGCCAACGAGGCGCTTGCGATAGCGTGCCGCCTTCTTCATGTGCTCCTCGCTCTTGAGCTAGCGGCGGATGCTAATCGGCTGCACACCTGCGAGGCGTGCAGTTGCACGCACCGTCATCTGTTCGCTCTTCATCCTCTCTAGGAAGCTTAGCTTCTCCGCCACAGCCCTTGACGTGCGTCGGTGCTTGGTGGGGCGGTTGCGGGGTGACGGTGGGCGAGCATCTCGATTACGAGTGGGCTCTTCCTCGTCGTGAACAAGGTCAGCAGGGAAGCGGGGGAGCGGGTACGTAGGAGCAGCTTTAGATGGCGATTCTGGAAGCGGAACTTCGCCTTCCAGATCCTCTTCGTTCACAGGCTCAAACAACGGTGTCAACGGTGCAATGATGACTGGGGGAGCTGGAGGCGCTGGAGGAGCTGGAGGAGCTGGTGGCGCCAGTGGTGTCGGAGGCACTGGTGGAGAGGGTGGAGCTGGCGGGGCTACCACGATCGGGACCGAACGAACAGCGGGATCAGGAACGACTGGCATGGATCTACTGCCACCGCCTCGTAACTGCATGAGAATAGAGAAGGCCGACATGGCGGCCAGTGCTAGCTTGAACGCTTGGTGACATCGCCCTAGGTGCGACCATATGAAGGGATTTCGGGTTGCTCGAGAAAGGAGCTGACAATCTGGGCTGACGAGAGACGTGGGGGCGATGGTCCCCACGACACTACGCCAAGATCAATTTGTTGGACCGCAGGCGGGAAGGGGGTCTTGACAGCGAGCGGTGAGAGTGGGAGGTAATTGCATCGTGCTGGCAAAAGATAAGCCCGCACGCCTCGTGATGCACAGTCTCTGACTCAGCGGCGTAAAAGCACGGTTTCCGGTACTAAGAACTCAAACTTCTGGAATAAAAGACCCCCCCGTTCCTTTAAATAGATAGTGTACAGCACTGTATAATGTTTTAAAAGAGTACATGGGTCTTATCTATTTCCATCCTCCATGTTGTTCACCCTAGCCTTTTTAATTGAATTTTTATAAAGTCCCCCGGGTCTTATATACGAGAAAATACGGTAGTGTTAAGGCTCCCCATTGCCCACAGGAGAAGCCTACACAGATGCAAAGGCTTAATGGAAGGTTCCAGGCCAAGACAAAGCTGAATCGGCCTCGGATAAATCCTTCTAACCCAACTCAGTTGAAAACTGATATGGAGTCAGCAGCTTCGAGCGCAGGACCGAGGGATGATCTATTCGACGTACCCTATGATCCTATAAGCGAGACCATCTACGGTTACTCGGAGCAGCAACAACCACTACTACTCGAGGTGATCTGCAACGGGCGATGCCTCCAGGCA